GAATCGCCCCATAATGTACGTCCAAAATTGATAGCAATAACATCATAAGAGTTAATAGCATCATGAGGTGAGACCACAGATATAAAAGCAGCATTAATCAAGAAATCTGTAATAAAAAAATAAATATAACATAAATGTCAGAATATAATGAGTTAAATAAATTGGTTGTATAAAAATATGTGTGTAACTTACAAAGTATAAAAGAAACAATAACGCTAGGAAAAGTTGAAAATTTTAGTTTCTCTTTAGGAGACTTTAATTCCTCAGTTAAGTCTAGAAGAGTAATCATAATCAATCAAATTTAATCATATTTTTAATATTATATAATATAATAAATTATCTTACAATTTACATTATTCCATCCTTTGGAATGAGCAAGATTAAAACGTCTAATTAGTAACGATTTATTGATAGTTTAATAGCTACTGGTATTCCTCCGAAAAATAAGTATCTTTTTCCCTGCGCATCGTGCAGACCAAATTATTTCTGCAGTGCTTATCTTCTGAAGAATATAGCAAATGCTCAAAAATATATTAACTCACCTTCATATGCAAATAGAATCTATATTTGAATTTCGTGTAAGTTTTTAAGTAAAAAAATTGAAGATATAATATGTTATGCAGTACCAAGATAATAGCATTGCCATAATTTCCAATGTATTCTATAATAGACGGATCGTATGCTTCGTCTGATGGCGTATTATTAAAAGTCCATTGATCTTTGACATTTATTCGTGACCATATTAAACCATATATTGAAATGAAAAGTATGGCAATAAACTTAAATAAGGCAAACGCCCTATTAATTTGGATTGCCAATGGATTGGAGAACATATGATACATAGTGACACACAATAAAAAAGCGACAGCTAAAAGCCGCAGCGGTCTAATGCATAAATGGACATTAGGTTAAAATGGGCGGTGAAATAATTCAGGACTAAGAAAACCTAACCTACATAGAATCTACATATATATCCTCATTTTCATAGATTCCTTTAATAGCATAGAGAAGGTATTTAGCGCACGCATAGGAATCAGCTGTAATTGCTCCGGGAAGGATTATGCTTTTAAAATTTGTATTATTATTATTATTATTATTATTGATCGGGATAGAATTTTAGAAATTACAGAATTACTTAAGGCCACATCCAAGTTTTAAATACAGATAGGTTAATCATGACAGAAAAATGTCTCTGTCATGCGATCATCGACCATTTCCGACCCAGATTGAAAAGGTTAAAACTGGATAACTGTATACCTAATTTTGACCTTTTCAGGCTGGGTCGGCAATGGTCGGTGATCATGAGACCGCGACATTTTTCTGCCGTGCCAACACCTTTAAAATCTAAATAGCATCAATATTGCAATAATTATATGGTAAAGAGTGCTTTGATTATTAGGTTATCGGATTTTACGGTATAGTAAATCATTTTAGCTCATTCTAGTTTAGAATTGACGTGAAATCCAGAAATAACATAATCCGATAGAAGTCCCTAACAATTCAAAGAAATCAATATTTAGAACACTAATATCTTCGGCATCGATTAGTTGAACTGCAATACGTATATGCGGACAAGTCCAATAATGATCATGTGCACATGTGAAAGTTGTATTTGCTGGAATTTCGAATTAGTGTAATAACAGTTTTGAGCTTTTGGAATTTCTGCTTCAAGCTTTTTTGAAAGGTTAAATTGTATATGTTGTAGGTGGGAACGGAATTTCAGTGGATTTGGAATTTATTAGGATTTTTAGAGTTAGGATTAGGGATGTTTACGGTCGGTCATTTTCGGTCAACCATTTTATGACCGTTGGCTGTATCTTGTGATCCAGTGATCCAAATCGGATAGTTTTGGTACCCTTCGATTCGTCACATTGAGACGAATCGAATGGTACCAAAATCATCCGATTTGGATCACTGGATCACAAGATACAGCCAACGGTCATAAAACGGTTGACCGAAAATGACCTACCGTACCATCCCTAGTTAGGATGTAAGTTTATATAAAATAATTTATGCTCTAAAATTATAATTCTATTAAGGATTCCATCAGTCCACATTGCCTTAAAAACAATGCCAAATCAACTTAAATTTCGTATAAACCAGCAACAAATATATCGGAATTTTGGATGCCCTTCGTTAAGGAATTATTAATATGTATACATACGTGGTCAGGACAAAACTGAACAAATGTCCAGGCCTATTCTTTTCATTAAACGCCTCTTCAAGATATTTTTGCTCCCCCGATCCTTTAGGACATCTAGCTCCTAACTTTAAGGTTGAATAAGAATAAAACAAAAATATTCAATAATATACATGGCATTATTTGTGTTAATTACAGCAAAAGTGTTATTATTTTAATAAAATTTTATAGTCAATGACCTCAACATAAATCATGCTACCAAGTAAACTTATTATTGCTCCAGCAATCCAAAACATTAAAGCAAGTCCAGGTGATAGTGTTAGCCTCCATACGCTGCTGGGGGATATAAAAATTCCTTAAAAATTGTAAAAAATAATGAGCTTCATCGTTTAAAATTAATATTAATAAACTTGAACAAATACCCGCTCCAATTATATGGTTAATGTTAAATTCAAATCCTGAAATTTTATTAATTATTTCCACTCTTTTTTGTTCTCTTCCAGGCGGAAAAGGAATATCTGGTCCTAATTCTTCGTTTTCTAGTTTTACATTTGCTTGCATACTATTGTCCGTAACTAAAGTGTTATCGTCCATAATTGAAATTCTTTATACACTCAGCTTTTTATAATTAACTTCTTATAGTGAACCTATTATATAATAAACTTTTTAAAAGATATTGAATTTGAAAACTTTTACTATATAGATTTGCAATCTAAAGATTATACGATATTCATATGAATGATATTGTGTAAAAAAAAACCAGACAAAGAATAAAATTAGTCCTATCAAACAAAACCATCGAATATTGCACATTCTTCATAAGGAATAATTATGGATACAAATCGCCACGATGTTTCATATTATATTACACAATAAATGAAAAATTATGCATCAAGTTTTGTGGAAGTTTGCTGATTGGCTGATGTAAATCAATTGCCTGGGTAACTTATTTATGCTGTGCATCAAATTAAAATTTGCGTCAGGCAAAATTTACACTGCGGATGTTCTATAGAATAGGTGGGCAAACTCCGCAAACTCCGCAAACTCCTCTATTAAAAAATTAATGATTACTAATCATTAGCGAAGCTTATTTCTTATATTGCCCACCTATTCTATAGAACATCCTAAACGGCAGTGTTTTATTAGGGTTAGGGTGGGTGCCGATGGCGGAATTATGGTTTTAATCTGACGCAGATTTTAATTTGACGCACATTCAGTCAGGGATTTTACCAGATATTGGGTCGGTTAAAGCGGTGCGAATTCAATATATGATCTACCTACTGCATAAGTTGCATTCTTGATGTATAGGTAATCCACTAACCATAACTGTATCAAAAGGTAACCCTTCCCTTTAACAGCCCACCTATACATTATGCTTGGGTCTAGTAGGAAATTCCGACATGCCATAATACTGATATCACGCGAAGTGGCAATTAAAAATTTAAAGTCTGACAATGATTGTTAACGTTAATGTGATTACTAATCTTTAAATATTAAATTGCCGCGTCGTGTCGAGATTTTGGATGTCGGGGTTTCCTACTAGACCCATTATGCACGTATACACCCGTGGGTATTGATTTATACCCAGGTATATAAGTATGGGAGTGTCATGCTTGTGTACCCGGGCGTATAATAGTAAAAACATAAAACATAGAAGCACTCGTACAGTATACCCCTCTACACGCGTGCCCTGGGTACTAAAATGGGCTAGGGAAAATAGCTATTTCAATATTGATCACATTTTCTGCTTTTGGATGTATGGGCTCAATGGTTTTTATGTAAGTCTA